GAGGTGTAGCCCTGGTGCCCCAGGCCATCCAGCAGTGAGTAATCCCCAGGAGACTGTGGCTGAGGTGCCTCTGTGCCGGGAGCCAGCCTGCCCGCCCAGGCACCGCCTGCACCCTCCGGACCCGGCACATCCAGTCACCACACCAGCACGTCCTGCTGCTCTCACATTCCTCTCCTGCTGTAACATTTTCGTAGCAAACCACCCCTGGTGACGCAGGGCTTCAGGACAGGGTGCTTGGGATTTACAGCTATTGAGAAGCATCCAGATTTAAACCTTTTGAAGGAGAGCTTTACCACTCATTTTTAAACCTCAAACCTCGAGCCAGAACTGACCTTCTGAAAAAAGCTGGACAAACCCCTCTTTATTCAGAATGACTAAAGCCCCTGTAAAACAGCCTCTCCTCGGAGAGTGTTTGCTCACAGCAAGGTGGGTCTGGAGCCCGACCCAAGGGAGGGAAGGTGGGGTGTACAGGATGCCTTGTGGTTTCACAACAGGGCCAACCCACTCCCCATGCTGGCAGCAGTGGCTGCCCCCACCTTACCCTGCCTGCTCCCAAACCCCTGCTTTACTCCTTGCTCCACAAACCCCACATCACTGCACGTGCTGAAAATAGAGCTGCTGTCATAAAACCAGCCCCAGCAAACCCACAGACAGCCAGAAGTGCTGGATGGGGCAGGACCCCTGGAGCACCCTGTCCATCCCTCTGACACCTGCTCACCAGCACTCCCTGGGCCAGGCACCCATCCTCCCACACCCAGGCAGCAGACACCTCAGAGGAGGGGCAAGCAGTCACTTAACTAGGGGTAAATCCAGCCTGGACGCTCCCCAGATTGGAAAGAAGAGGGGATCAAGTAGTCCTGCTATGACCCACACATGCAGCAGACTAAGCAGGGCTCAGGAGCACCTGCTCAGCTCTCCTCCCGCTCTCCCACAGCAAATCCACCCCTGCAAAAGGCTCATCTGTGTTAAGGAGGCCATTCATTAACCAGCCACGGCCTAGGTTGGACTTGGGTCTGCCCCAGTGCCGCCCAGGCCCCCTGGTTAGTCCTGTCAGTGAGGTGGTGTCCACAGCATCACCCCAGACTGCAAGAGGCAGAAGGAACCAGCCTGGGTAGGTGCTTGTGTCTCTGGGGACATGCAGTATCCTACCTGCAGCACAGGGCTCCTCAGGCCAGCTGAGACGGCTCCTGCTTTCCAGCTGCCATGCAGGGAGGACTCTGCTGTCAGGTGAAACACAGGGGACACCCAGAGCAGCGTTTTGGGCTGCTTGCCCCAGCACTTGACCTCCAAAGAAGCAACACAGCTCCATCTCACTGGGCTTTCCCCTCCAGACCTGAGCAAGGAAGAGGCAGAGCTGTCCTAGCACAAGGCAGCCTTGCTGGCAGGAAAGGCTGTGCCCTGACCAGAGCCCAGAGAAAATGGACTGGGACAGAGATGAGGCAGAACAAAACTTGGTGGAATTAGAGAAATGATCACGGAGCTCTTCAGCTGTAACAGCAAACTGGAATGAGTTACTTTCTTGTGTGAATTCTCTTGGCTCTGCTCCCTTTTCTCTGGGTTTCTCCCTTTTTTCCTATGAAGTGCTTAGGTTGAAATATTACCAGCTTCCATGGCAAAACCTTATTTTAAAATGTATTATCATCCAGAAAGAAAGGGAATGAAAGGTTTACAGAAAATACCTTTTTTCTCTCAACATTTTTGCTTTCAATTAAAGTAAGCACTTTTTTCCTACCAAAATCAGTTTCACAAGGCTCTTTCAACTGATCCTAATCAATAGGACTGGGGTTCTTTATTATTATTACTTTGGCAGAACCTCTTTTTTTAAAAGCTTAACCAAAGACATCCCTGCTGTCCAACAGTCACTCCTCTCACACTGCCTTGGCTGGTGTGTGCGGGGCAGCCCAGCCCAGCCCAGCCCACCTGCCCTCCATCTCCTCTGCTGCCGCCATGAGGCAGCCAAGACCATTCAGCACCTTGAGAATGATGCTCCTTGGCCAAAGCCCTGCGTTGGATGCCCCAGAGGGAGCAGGCTGGGGGCGAGGAAGAGACACCCCTGCTTGCAGCCCTGGGGACGCAGTCAAACTCCCTTGTCCCGTGGCCACCGGCTGCCCCAAAGCCCTCCCTGTTGGGGCCGGGGGCCGCTGACCATTTCTCTGCTGGTTATTAGATTGTTCACGGCTCTCAGGTTTGTTTGAATAAGCCCCTTTGTTCGGCGGTGCTTTCCCACGTCCCTCCGTTCGCTCGGCAGTCGCGTGTCCCGAGTCAAAGATTAGCCCTGGCCGCCAATCCCCAAAGAAAGTTTTCTTCGGAGCAAGACATCTGCGTTGGAGGGAACCTGCCAACATCTGCCACACTTTCCCCCTTTTCAAGAGCCTTTCTTTCCCTCTTAAAAAGTGCAGGAACAGATGTTAAAAGTTGTTTTCTTTCTCCGGGTTGTGAAACGTAGACAAATAGCAAAAAAGAAAACTCTAAGCAGCGCTCACTCCTTTTTTTTTTTTTTTTTTGGAAAGCCCAGGAAAAAAAAAAGGGAGGCTTTGTTTACAAAGGAGAATCCCCTTTTCAGTGAAACCTGGCAGTGGCAGTGCAAAAGGGAAGCAGGAATTTGCAGAAAGCTCCCTGTAATGCTCATTTGCATTGGCCTGTTGGGTACCTACAATCCCCAGCACAGATGTCGGCCTTCCCCAAAGCCAGGGCAGCTCTCCCGCCCGCACTCCCCGCCTCCAAAATAAAGGCTTTTGCCGTGACTGAGAGGTGTAAAATAACTGTTTACAGCACAAGCTGCTCTTCTTTTTCACTGTGGTGCTGTCTTACAAATGAACCTTGAAATGAGCTCACCCGGAGCAGATGCCCATGGGCAAGCCAAGGGGCTCACCCTGAGTGGGCTGGGCACAGGCTGGGGCTGGGCACCGGGGGCCACCGCACTGCTCGTGCCCTCCCCTCCCACCCAGCTGTCCCCTGGACCCAAAGCCTTGCCACCAGCTTGCCTCGTGGTCTCATGGAGCTTCCCACTTACCCCAGACCTCAGCAGCAGCTCACAGGATAAAGAAAGCAGAAGGGAAGGTGAAGCAGAAGCAGCAAGTGAAGGCCAGGTAGGGAAGGGAGAGAGAGGAAAGAGCCACTGCAGAGACCAGAAAGACCTTTCATGGCAGCACTGGGGGCTGGCCAGACTCTGGGACCACTAACATGGGGGGCACACAGTGCATTATAGCCATACCCATGCAAGGAGGGGTTCCAATAGGCACAGGACATGCTTTTAGGGATTTTTCAGTAATTTTGCGTTTCCTGACAACTCTGCCATGCTCAGTCAGGCTGGAAAAATCTTGGAAAACCAAAAGAGTCTTCACTGGTGATCCGCTGGGGCTGGTTGATGTGAGAGGCTCCCACACAGGGCAGTGGGACCTCCTTTCTCTGTCTTTGCAGAGGAAACACCTGAGATAAGGGGCCCATCCCTGCTCCCTTTATCTGGCACAAAGGACAAGTTATTAACCTCACCCTCCCAGCACAACAACCACACCAGCTCGTCCCAGGTCTCTGCCAAGTAGTGCACTTATAAAACCAGGTAACTGCACCCCAGCTCTGCATCTGACTGACAAACAGCCTCTGCCTGTCAGATTCCACGTCTGGGGACATGTTTCCGTGATGAGCCCGGGCAGCAGGGTGTGCAGACGTGCTGCATGTTTGCATTTACACACAAGCAAACACACACACACCCACGCTGTGGTTAAGCAAGGGACGTTAAGTCCTTGCTTTTATCACTGGGGTACATCCTACCCTCGGCTTGAGTGGGTGAGGGCTCTGCAGCCACAGCACCACACTGGGAGCTGGAAAATGCCACCAGTGAGTTGGGAGGGCTGGCGGTGCTTCTGAGCCCCTGAGGCCCCTTCCTCTCCACTTCAATAAGGTGACACATTCGACACCAATCTGAAGGGCTTCACCTGCTGGACTCAACAGGACACTGCCAAATCCTGCTCATTAGCAAAGCAACCGTCAGAAAGCAAATGCACGGTCATGAAAAACACCTTTATACTCTCGAGAGCCCAAACTGGGCAGAAGTGAGGAAGTATAAAAGTGCATTCTTACTCTGCGCCAAACCTCCTCCAAAGGCCTCTCTGCTCCCACACCAGCATTCCAGAGGAGTGAACAGACAAACCCCCTTCCACACAGTGGGGCGAAAAAAATCAAAGTAAAAATCCCACAGGACTAACTCACCTCTGGGTTAGCTCACACCTGCAATAGCCTGTCAGTTTAATATTAAATTCTACGCGGCAGCCAAAAACTAGAAGAGTTACATATTTCCTATATCTGCCCATGTGCAACAGAGAATTCAGGTTCCCAAGAGGAAAATAAAGTTCCCATGTTTGCCCTAGAGGAGTTCTGTGATGGAAACAACCGGCTGTCAACAGTTTTTAATCGATCATCGTTTCCTTGTAATAATAATCCCTGGGAGCGGGAACTCCTAGCTCAAGTACTCTATTATTAAATTAAGAGGCTGTTTCAAAGATGTGAAATGGATGGGGTCAGGTTAGCAGGTAAAACCAGGCATCACTTCAAGGAGATAGAGTGGAAAAAGATGAGGAGAAGGCATTTTCCCAGGTGTAACTCAACCGCTTCCCGGCTATTGTTTCCCTCCCTGGGAATCTGTGCAAATTGAACGAGGAGCCGTGCAAGCTGCTCAGAGCGCGCCCATTTTCCTTCCCTTCTTCCCTAACAAAAGATCCCTCCAAAGCCCAGCGTCGGAGGCCGGACATCTGTCGCCGTTTGGGGGGGCTGGCGTGCTCATTGAAAAGAAGCAGTGACCTGTCAGCTTTGATTGATGGCCACAAACCTCCGGGCTCGACCCCTCGTGTGGGAAAAGAAGTCCCGCCAAGGACAGTTCCCTTTCACATGCTAATTCGGGGTTATAAATACAGCAGAGGAGCAGCGGAGCAGCAAAGAGCCCAACTGGAAACGGAGCGACCCACTGCCCGAGTGCCTCCTTCCCACCCCGTGCCTGGATTAGAATGACCGCCACAGCCACCCCGGGCAGCACCCACAAGCTCGCCAGCACCAAGGAGGAGAGGAAGGTACGTGCCCGCTGCGCTGCTGCTGCAGCAGCACCAGGCATGTGAGTGATGGGTGCTGGGGCTACGGGCTCTGCTTCCAGGAAAGAAAAGGGTGACAGTTGTTTTCCTCATATTATGAGGCTGTGTTTTATGAAATTAACCCACGTGGGTATTTTTTTTCCTGCTTCCTTTCTCTGCTTCTCTCTGTTTTGTTTGGGTGAACCCTGCATAAAATGAGTGAAAGTGGGAGAATTGAGAGCTGATGCCATCTAAGGGACAGGCCATGGCTGAAGATGGTACACATCCATCTTCATCTTGTCCCTGCTGAGCCCTGTGTCACCCCACGCTGGCTTCACACAGGGGATGGGACTCTGACCTCACTGAACAGCAGCAGGGAGAGGAAGAAAAAAAATACCAACTGCAATTTTCCTGCTCCTTTCCTTTGGCAGTTAAGGAAACCCCTCATTGAGCGGAAGCGAAGGGAAAGGATTAATAACTGCTTAGACCAGCTGAAGGAGACAGTTGTGGGAGCATTTCACCTGGATGTAAGTGCCCGTTTTTATGCTGCTTTTTGTCCTTTTGTTGGTGGGAAACTGGGGGGTGGGGAGGGTGTCTCATCTTGTGAGAAACTGGGCATGCTGCAAACCCTTCATTGCCTCTAACTGCTGCTCTCTTTCCTTATCAGCAGTCTAAACTGGAAAAAGCAGACATCCTCGAAATGACGGTGAAGCACCTCCAGAACATCCAGAGCAGCAAGATGATGGGTGAGTGCTCGTGCCGGGCAGGAGGGTGGCAGCAGGTTTGATCTGCTGCCAGACTGGCAAAAGCATCGTTCAAACCAGCCAAGGCCCACGCTGCTGCCTGGGTTCGGCTTTCTCCACTAGATGGGGAGATGGAGCTGGGCACTGCCTAATTCGGGCAAGGTGCTTTTTCCTTCCCGGGCCTATTTCTGCTTTTTGGCGTAGTTTTGCCTCTGCAGTAAACAGCAGAGCGCTGGGGCTCACACCCTGCTCACCTCCCTGCAAACGAGGCATCTTCTAGTAAAGCCCAGTGGCTTCAGAGTGAGTTCCCAGAAGCCCCCCAGGAAACCTGGTGAAGGTTCAGCTCTTACCTCTCACCAAGTCCCCTTTGTCTCCTCTCCATTGCAGCTGACTCCAAAGTGGGTCTGGAAGCCCAGCAGAGGTACAGCACCGGGTACATTCAGTGCATGCACGAGGTGCACAACCTCCTTCTCACCTGTGAGTGGATGGACAAGAGCCTTGGGGCGCGCCTGCTGAACCACCTGCTGAAATCCTTGCCCAGGTCTGGTGAAGACAGCTGCAAGGCAGCACTGAGAGCTTCCAGCCCATCTCAACAGCCTCTCTTGACGCCAAAAGGTCCCCTGAGCCCGAAGGGGAGCACTCGAGGCACAAACCTGGCCCAGGAGCGCCTTTACCCTGCGGAGAACAAGCAGGCTTCCAAAAATTCCTTCCAGGGGCCGTTGCTGTCGGTTTTCACCCAGGCTGATGCTGCGCCTCCCAGACAGGTTCTGCAGCCAAATTTTTCCCATAACAACCCTAGAATGGGGTCACTAGATATGTGGAGACCATGGTAAAGTGTGTTTTCAATGTTTATCCTAACCTTAGACACTCTTACGTATGTATCTTATAGATATGTTTCTTTAAAACACTTGTGGAGCAAGTCTGTTCCTGTAGGTGTACTAAAGACCAGGGTACTTCAAGCCGAAGTAAACCTATGTGTAGCCTGCATTGTAGAAGGCTGCTATTATTTTTTATTTATTTAATACATCTAAATTATTGTATAGAATCCTCTCATGCTCTTTAGCTTATATTAATTATATAGTTTTCTTGTCTTATGTTCTAAAATAATTAATTGTATTAATAAAAATACAAGATAACAGGCATTGACCCTTTCTGGCATTAAAGTTACCTCTCAGATCTCACATAAACCACTGAGATCACTTTGCTGGATAAAGGGGTAAGTAGATCTCCTCTCCTTTTTATCTTTATTATTACCCCTAAAGACTTTGTCTGGACTTTTTAGGCTGTTTAGAAGTGCTCTCTGGGTTGCTCACTCTGTCTGTGCTGCTCCCAGCCACCTAGACCCTGACATCGCTCTTAAACTAAGGAGCTATGTGTTTGTATATGTATAAATATGTAACATATAGTTATATTTAGGGATTTGTTTTTGTTTGTTTCCTTAACTAAAAGATCTAAATAAACTTTTGGAAGATCATGACTGATACTTTTCCCAGCCTTGTCCTGTATGCCCTGAATAAACAGTCCTCGAGCATCTGCGTTTGTTTTCTTCTTTCACAAACAGTTGTTCCCTGATGCAGTTGAAAGAGCTGGTTTGGGTTTTGCTCCTGATGCTCTGTAGGAAAGCAGTGTGCACCACACACACAGACAGCATCACCTGGATCACAGCAACAATTAAAAAGTTATGAAAGAAATGGGGAGTTGGGTTTATCAGCCTGGATCGATGCTTTAGCTTTTACTTATAAGTGAATCACAAAGATCATCTAAAGGGCAGAAAGTAAAATTTCCTGCAAATTGGACCACGGAGACTGGGACAAATCTGCTCACTTGCTGGCAACATTTGGTCCCCTGTTTTTCATCTCAAAGGCAGTTAAAAGCTCCTCGCAGTTAAAATAAAAGAGCAGGGAGCTCTTAAACAAACACCACGCATACTAATGAATGGACCCGCAGTTCAGAGGGGCTCATTATGCAGCGAGATCTATTTGATGAGGTGCCTTAAGGAGTGAAAACTGGCACCTCTGGGTTTAGCATCTTTTTCTGTGAAGCTTTCCTTTTTATCCAGCCCCCTTGAAGAGCCATTAGGAGCAATGCCATAAGGGTGGTAGGAGAAACAACTGGCCTACACATGGCTGCAAGGAGGCAAGGCAGGTTTCTTGAAGCGTGGGGTCAGAAGTCAGGTAAAGGCATAGAATTGTACAGATCTTACCTTAACCTCAGTTCCTATCCTCTGCCTGAAAGCTGGGACTTCCCCCTTTGCTGATGGGAACCTCCAGAACGGCCCTCGGTGTGGAAAATACACAATATCCCATTGCAAAGATCCAGAGGGTTGGGAGCTGGAGCCACCCCAAGCAAACCCTGCAGCAAAGGGCACAGAACACTCACAGGTAGAGAAAACTGTCAGGCAGAGTAAACCACAAAATCCTGGAAGACAAAAGACATTAAAGACCTTCCCAGTTTATTATCACACATGTTGCTGAGTTTAGATAAAAATTGCACCCCGTAAAATCCCCACAGCTGTACTCACCAGAGGAAGCTCCATTGAACACCAGTGGGATGGACAAGAGGAGCAGCTCCCTGCCCAGGATCAGACCTGAAGTGTTCTTTTACTTCTAGCTGGTGTCAATAATGCACCTCACGACACTTGTGGCCACCTTATTGTTATGCTGGGAGAGGCTGTCATGAAAATATTTTACTACAGTTTGACAGCATCAACTTAAAAACATACATTCCCTCTAAAAGCTGTAAATCCCCAGTGACTATAATTATCAGCTATGGTTACCGTGCTGAAAAGAGATCAGTGGAAAATATCTACTTCTCACCATCTCTGCTTGTTTATTTTGTGTCTGAAAATACTTTGTGGTTAGTGAGTTTTATTATTTCCTGTTTCTAATCAGTAGGGGCTTTTTTTCTGTTGTGGGTGTGGAGGGAAGGGTCACATCGCAGCTGGTGAGAGAGTTTTAAAAATAGAAAAGTAAGACTGCAATACTTGGCCAACAATCTCCAGTAACAGTTTCAGTACAAGACACTCATTTTTCACTGCCTTCGTTTCAAACCAAGGGTGACCTTTTATATGATCTCCTTGTCACGTATCCAACTGGTGCTGTGGGAATCCATTGCAAGTCACTAGTTTTTCAGGGAAAAAAAAAAGTGTTTCTTCAGAAGGGCAGAGGATTACTCATAGCACTTCAAACACATGAATTTCAGCTCCTACTTATGTTTGACAAAGGAACTCCATATTTACCTCAAACCCATCCGGTTTTACCAAGACTGGGATTGTACAAGAGCAATGATACTTCGCTCTCCATTATGGGCACCTCTCCACTGACAACCCAAGAATACACTGGCAGCTGCTACCACATTCTCCCAAAAAGATGGAACAGAGCAGCTGCTCCAGCTACTGAGGAGTAGAGAGCACTGTCCTTGTAAGCTGTTGTTTGAAGCTGCCCCATCACAGTTCTGGACACAGCAGCAGAACCCAGACAGATGCAGTTTGCACATCTGCAGCAGGTGCCAGTGGCTGTGTCTCTTGGCTGCCCAAGGTCCCCCAGCACCCAGAGGAGGCACCTTCAAGGCTGCTCCACCATTCTCACCTGGGACTGCATGCCCAAGGCACAGGGGTTTGGAGGCACAGACAGCAGGGATACTGCACACCCAGGTGTTTCAGGGCTGAAAACAGTCAACAAAAGCACCCAGACAAGATTCCTTAGCATGGCCAGACAGACTTGTTTGCCAGAAGCAGTCACAAGATACACCACATCTCCCCCAGCACACACAGGGCTGGGACAGCCTGGTGCTGATCTGGGCTTTGTTTGTCCCTTGCCAAGGTACTGTTGCAGACACGTCACAGAATCACAGAATACTCTGAGTTCAGAGGGACACAGAGGATCGAGTCCCATACAGGGATCAAACCCACAACTTTGTGTTTGTGAACGGAGCATTAAAAAGCAGAGGCCAGTTGCTAAGGACACAAGGATGTGGGAAAGGCTGGATCCAAAGCTCAGGACCCTCTCATGCCTTTAATACAAAGCAATTACTGATTCATATACCAACATAAGCCCAGCTGGACAAAATACCCACGTGCACAGCATTTCCCTTTATACAAACTTCCCTCCCAGAACCTACTCTTATGGAAGCCAAGGAAAAGCTCAGTTATTTTTCAGAAGACAGGAACAAATCCTTTCCCATTAGGAAAGTACAGATGTTCATGAGTATATAAGAGAACTTAGGGCTCTGCCAGGCTGCCTTTCCCTAGGCACACACAACTCTCAGGGCCTCTGAGCATCCCTGCCTTTTCCCTTCCTCCTCATCCCACCCTGAGGGTCCCACAGCCACCCACAGTTACAAGGCCAAAATGCTTTAGGAATTTAGGAGCAGTGCTGAGTCCCTGTGGATCATTACCTGAGAGGGTTGAGCACAGTGATTAGAAAGGGTACACAAGCTAAATTTTCAGTTAACCTCTTTGCTGGGTGCTCACTTTGGCAAAAAGGAGACTCCAGGTTGGTGGTATGACCTCTCCAGAAGCCATGGAGAGGCTCCTAATCCTCTGCACTCTCAAGAAGAGATCTTTCAAAATCTTATGCAAAAGCAATTCTGGGGCAAAATGTTTTCAAACTGACTTGAACCCCACTGCCATGGTTGTGAGTGCTTGCAGATCGCTAGCAAGTATTCCTCTTGGGAGGAAAGTGAAAACAAACCCACCAGCAGCAGAACACCAAAGACTTCACTTTCCTTTAGATATGCCATTATCCCACAGCTTCCAGCATATATATTCCTGTCTTAGGAGAGACACGCTCATATTTCATCTCATGAGGAGTAATGTTGTGTTGAGAACCTAACCCAAAGTCTGTCACATTTTTCAGAGCTTTCACATACTCATGAATAACACAGCAGAAGCTGAACTAGCCCTGGATCTGTCCTGCACTGCTGACATATTTCATTTATAAGTCACAGCCCTGGTGAGAATGTGGCTTGCTGCCTGAGGCATCACCACAGACCTACCAGAGCCTGGGAACTTGATTTGCTCTGAGACTCTCCTATGGTTCCTGCATTAATTGTCATAAATCCTACCACACATTCAGAATTAAAAAGCATGTTGGAGTATTTACATCTAGTTTTCTATGGCTAATGCCACCAAGCAAATGGTCTTCTTCAATCAATCCCACATCTGCTGTCACAGAGAGGTTGGGTTCTCTAGCACTAGCTTAAAGGGGCTCATCTTTGGGGATGGAGGACTGTCTCTTTCGCTCTGCCAAACAGCAAACACCCTTGAGGAGAGCTGGGAATGATGCCTCCTCTCCAGGGTCCCTTCCTGAGGAGGCCAGGGGAAATGGCAGTGCAGAAGTCTGTGGTTTTTGGAAAGCTGCTGAGCAGGGAACAACTTTGCTGAGGTAAGAGCAAGGATGGAGAAACCACTGCCAAGATGGCCTTTCCTTCACTAGGAGCTTCCCAAAAGCCCCTCCTCTCTCTCCATCTGACCCTGCCCAGGCCCCCTCATCCTTGAGTGTGCCCACACAGCAGGACTTGCTGTAGGGCAACTTCTCACTCAAACTGGCATAACCTGAAATTGGCAGCCCCAGCAAACCCCCCTCATGATCTCACCATCTCCCACTGCTCAAGCAGTTTCTTTCTACTTCCTATGGACTGAGAAGGGAGAAAGAGAGAAATAATCATTTCCACACAGTTCAGAAAAGCAAACGTTAGGCAGGACAGTGAAGTAAGCCAGGAGAGCTATGGCTGAGCTCCTTGGGACAGAGTATCCCCTTGTAAGAGCTGGGACTTTCCTGGGTCCCTCTGGGACTGTGGGAAGAACTGCTCAGGAGCAACCACATAACCTCAAACCTCTCTGTCACCTGCCCTACCCTCATTAGCCTACATGGGTAATAAAGTACAAAGCAAAGCACCCTAAGATATGCACTCTTTCCACTGGAGAGGCTGTGAGAACAAGCAGTCCACATGGGATAGCAATCACCTCACCT